GGCTTGCTGTAGAGGGTGCTCGCATCAAAGCAGTGATGGAAGGACCAGTGGTTTCCAATATCGATAAAATAGGAGCTGATCATGTTCAAAGCCTTCTGCTGGTACAAAAATTAAGTTCTGTGATTATTATACATTTAAAAGTGGACAGTTTCCTGCAAATCGATACATTTGTAAACTAAGACAGTGAACACATTGCTCAAACATCATGACATTCATCAGTAATTTTATTTTTTAATTTTTAACAGACCAGTAAAACATTTTTATGCATACAAAACATGCTTGTGTTTTGTTTTCAAAGAAACACTGTGCAAGTGTCATTGCCAAAATACGACCTCAGCCTGACAACTTGGAGCAGTATCGAACAGACTATGGTTACCTTGGACCCATGCTGTGCTCCCATGTAATGAAGGCCAGGACTCAAGCAGCATTGCAAGCTCAGCAAGTCAACAGGACCACATTAACAATCACGCAGGTACATTTAATACTTGATGAAAACGTGTTTGAAGTATTATAAGTGCAAATATGTGAAAAAGATGGAGGGAAGTTTTAGAAAACAGTAACTTAAAAAATAAACATGCTATATAAGCATGAATTTATTATGTTTCCTTTAGGCATCATACTTGCAGAATGATGTAACTCAACAAACAGCTGTTCAGTAATGAATGATGACTCTCTTTCTTGCAGCCTCGTCCCACACTTTCAGTCTCACAAAGCGGTTTAAGTGGGTCGGCAGGACCACGCACTCCAAGCATCATTAAGGTCCCAAGTTCCCTTACCCTGATGTCCCCTCGGCCAGGAACTCCATCACAGCCATCTCCTCCGGCAACCAAGTATATAGTCATGGCAACCAGTGCAGGAGCGGCCTCAACTCAGCAGGTGCCACCACTCTACAGCACCGCCACTAATTTTTATTATTGTGATTGGTGTGAAAATAAGTCTTGTTTTCCTTGATTGGATGTACTGACACTCTTATCTTTAAAATTCACAACTTCTGAGGGTGTCGTTTTACATCTCTGTTTTTCTCTTACCTTTAGGTAATCACCCTCAGCTCTTCCCAGTCAGCTTCACCAGTTACTAGCACTGTTCCCAGTGCCACGTCGACCTTGCAGCCTTTGGTAAAACTGGAGCCTGGCAGTGGCCCAGGACTAACAAGTTCACGACCTATGCAAAAGTACATAGTGGTATCACTGCCCTCATCAGCTTCTTCCTCTCTGGAGCCTAAGAGCTCTTTGCTTCCAACCTCAATTGCCTCAGCCCCTCTAGAAGCAGGGATGAAGCTAGAGCGGTCAGAGTCTCCTGGAGCAAGTACACAGTCACCACACTGAGACTTGTATAGTTAGTGAAGATTTTTAATATGTTGATGCAGCTGATCACACAAAGTTTAAAGGGGTCAACTGTGCAGTGGTATGAAGAGGAATATTTGAACTCTTGACTGATAAAAGAGTAAATGTGACCAGACATTGTAAATATGTTAATGCCCAATGGAAAAAATAGCTAAATCTGTGAGGTCTGTAATGTTCCACCTTATATTTTAATTGATTTGTTGTTTTTTACTCTAAAATAAATCCAGTTTTGTATGAAATTCTTTACCCAGTGTTTCTTTTTGTTGTTTGTTTTTTGTCTCTGTTTCATAAGAAAATGTGAGGAAAAACTTGCCAACATAAAATAACATGTAATACAATCCACATTGGGATGCAGTCGGTGCAACAGATGGCTGCAATGTGTGATTCTGACAGATAGCATGTTAGGTTAAGGATACCATTATACTCAAGTCTGATAGTAAGACGCACGAAAGGTTAGCTACATTAATAAAATTTGTTGTATCAGAGCTCCTTGCCAGATTTTTTTAGTTGTATTTTCAGAGAACATTTGAATATGTTTTCACCACTTGCATCAAATTCATGAAAAAATGTGTGATTGCTATTTAGCAGTAGGTTTTAAACTTTTTTTTTCTTCAGTTTATTTTCAAGGTAAATTAAATACATCTGCAGATGGCTTGGTGTAATCACTAATTACAATGCAATTTACGAAGTTTCAAAATAATGTAAAAGTACAATTGATTACGTTGAACATACGTTTCAACTACGATTCCCAGTGAGCACTGCGGTAAAAATAATCAAGTCCTTACTCCAAAATTAAAGTTTAGTAGTTTTTTTTTTTCTTCCAATACTTTATTGAGGCATATGACAGTAGTTATTCATAAGTAAATAGACCGGAAACAAGAGGACTATAACATAAAATAAAGAACATAAAAACAAGAACAACATCGAAGCAGATAATGTGAACATGAAACTTTTAGGTCAGGGGGTGACTTAATGGGTTAAGTAAAGTAAAAACATTCAGGGAAGTACATATATTACAAATTTTGATAGCTTTTTTATTTTCGCTGGAGGAGAAATAATTTTTAATTTCGCATAACAGGGCAGGGAAGAAGGGTTTAGATTTAGAGAATTTGCATTTGTGAATATAAAATTTTGCCATGAGTAGAATAAAATAATGAATTTTGGAGGTGATGAATACAGAGATGTTCTGCCATAAATCATAGCAAAATGGACAATCCCAAAATAAATGAACAGTAGTTTCTTCCGAGGCATTACAGAAAACACACGATGTATTAATAGACCTATTAAATCTTGTAAGATAATGAGCAGATGGGTAAAATCTGTGAATTAACTTAAAGGAGACCTCTCTTATTTTATTACTGATCATATATTTAAAAGGCAATAACCATACTTTATCCCAGCAAATGTCCGGAACCAAAGTATTCCAGTATGATATAATATATGGCATAGACACTACATCCTGTTGAAAAATAGCGCGAATAGCTCGATTGTTCTTCTTTCTTATAGTGGTGAAGCATGTTTTCCCTATGAACGTGTCGGCTGGATCCAATAGAAAAGAGGAGTCATCCGTATCATTGTCCAGGTTCTTGAAGAGCATCAGCAGTCCAGAGGGAATCGCTCCAATAGTCAATGAGTATTCCTTTAGTGTAGGACTAAAGTTAAATCGATTTTTCAGTTCTTCAAATGTCAAAGGAACACCCTGGTCATTTAAAAGCTGTTTCACCAACTGGATATTATTTTCAAACCAATTATAAAGAAATAGAGATTTACTCTTATGAGTTATATATTGGTTGTTCCAGATGTAACATTTGTGCGGGGAAAAGTTGTGTTTATAGGCTAGGGTCCATGACAATAGCATTTGTTTGTGAAAATTGGATAGTACTACTGGGATTTTATTAATATTGTATTGACAGAGTGTTAAGATGTTAATTATTGAATACGCCTTTACTCATTGTATGAAACATGCTTTTGTTTTGAAGGACATTATTGTATATACTTCCGGTTAAGTAAGAGAGCAAGAGAGTGTGAGGATAACTTCTTGAGAGAAGGAGCATAGAAGAGAGCTCCTATTATTATTTTACAGACCGTTGCCATTTCAGAGCCCCATGTTAAGTGGTATGTTTGTCGTAACAAAATAAGTCAAACCCAGCCTTTATCTGCTCATACTCACACAGCTCTGCACGGCCGGAGCCATGAAGACGCGGTCCCATGCCAGCTACCCTCACGCCCCTTCTTCTG